GGTGTCAGTGATTCAGGATCAGGTCTGTCTGTGGTGTCAGTGATTCAGGATCAGGTCTGTCTGTGGTGTCAGTGATTCAGGAGCAGGTCTGTCTGTGGTGTCAGTGATTCAGGAGCAGGTCTACCTGTGGTGTCAGTGATTCAGGAGCAGGTCTACCTGTGGTGTCAATGATTCAGGAGCAGGTCTACCTGTGGTGTCAGTGATTCAGGATCAGGTCTGTCTGTGGTGTCAGTGATTCAGGATCAGGTCTGTCTGTGGTGTCAGTGATTCAGGATCAGGTCTGTCTGTGGTGTCAGTGATTCAGGATCAGGTCTGTCTGTGGTGTCAGTGATTCAGGATCAGGTCTGTCTGTGGCGTCAGTTATTCAGGATCAGGTCTGTCTGTGGTGTCAGTGATTCAGGATCAGGTCTGTCTGTGGTGTCAGTGATTCAGGAGCAGGTCTACCTGTGGTGTCAGTGATTCAGGATCAGGTCTGTCTGTGGTGTCAGTGATTCAGGATCAGGTCTGTCTGTGGTGTCAGTGATTCAGGAGCAGGTCTGTCTGTGGTGTCAGTGATTCAGGAGCAGGTCTACCTGTGGTGTCAGTGATTCAGGAGCAGGTCTACCTGTGGTGTCAATGATTCAGGAGCAGGTCTACCTGTGGTGTCAGTGATTCAGGATCAGGTCTGTCTGTGGTGTCAGTGATTCAGGATCAGGTCTGTCTGTGGTGTCAGTGATTCAGGATCAGGTCTGTCTGTGGTGTCAGTGATTCAGGATCAGGTCTGTCTGTGGTGTCAGTGATTCAGGATCAGGTCTGTCTGTGGCGTCAGTTATTCAGGATCAGGTCTACCTGTGGTGTCAGTGATTCAGGATCAGGTCTACCTGTATGGGGGATTTGGGCCGTGGGGGTCCAGGAGACACAGGGCGCAGCATGTGGTTGGAGCTGGCGTCGGGGCTCTCCGGCGGGCTCTCGTCCTCTGGAGGTGAAGGGGTTCTGGCGAGTCTCAGCGGTCCCGAGTCGCTGCAGGTCCAGACAGAATCATGTCAGGTGAATCTTAACTTTAGTCTTCATGTATGAGCAGTCCATTATTAGACAGGCACACACAATTGTGTCTGATCCCACCCCCAAATTCTCCACCCAGATCTCCAGCTCCTCTTCTGGTAGAAGATTCAGGGTTCCCAAGAGCAGGCTGAACCGCTATAAGCACTCATTCCCGCCTACACTATGTCCATTGAGCTTCTTAACACTCACATGAAATGTAATATACTCTTAAATGTTGGCCATGAGGGTTGTGCAATAGGTCGCCATTGTCAGTATGTGAATTGTGTTTGTTCAAACGGTGCATGAGTGATGATATGTGCATGTATTTTAATGTGTATTATGTTTGTATATGTACATGTATGTGGAACTGCAGGACAGAGTCCAGAACAAATCTCCTTACGGGGACAATAAAGTATATTGTATCGTATGTGGAAAATCAACTCCACTGAGGGACTGAAGTCTATGAAACCAGTTCTCAACAAGATCCCCTTCTTGAATCATAATGAGGTCTAACACTTTGAAAACTGCTACAGACAAGAAGGGGGTCTGACCTGGGGGCTCCTTGGATGGTGAACATCTTATCAGAGTGCTGCTCGGCCAGTTGCGTCATCACCTCATACAGCTGCCGGCACACCTGCAGAGAAACACAGGTGAGTCCTCTACACAGGTAACGTGATGTCACAGAGATACAGGTGAGTCCTCTGCAGGTAACGTGATGTCACAGAGATACAGGTGAGTCCTCTACAGGTAACGTGATGTCACAGAGATACAGGTGAGTCCTCTGCAGGTAACGTGATGTCACACAGAGATACAGGTGAGTCCTCTGCAGGTAACGTGATGTCACAGAGATACAGGTGAGTCCTCTACAGGTAACGTGATGTCACACAGAGATACAGGTGAGTCCTCTGCAGGTAACGTGATGTCACAGAGAGATACAGGGGAGTCCTCTACAGGTAACGTGATGTCACAGAGATACAGGTGAGTCCTCTGCAGGTAACGTGATGTCACAGAGATACAAGTGAGTCCTCTGCAGGTAACGTGATGTCACAGAGATACAGGTGAGTCCTCTGCAGGTAACGTGATGTCACAGAGAGATACAGGTGAGTCCTCTGCAGGTAACGTGATGTCACAGAGATACAGGTGAGTCCTCTGCAGGTAACGTGATGTCACAGAGATACAGGTGAGTCCTCTGCAGGTAACATGATGTCACACAGAGATACAGGTGAGTCCTCTGCAGGTAACGTGATGTCACACAGAGACACAGGTGAGTCCTCTACAGGTAACGTGATGTCACAGAGAGATACAGGTGAGTCCTCTGCAGGTAACGTGATGTCACAGAGAGATACAGGTGAGTCCTCTACAGGTAACGTGATGTCACAGAGACACAGGTGAGTCCTCTGCAGGTAACGTGATGTCACAGAGAGATACAGGTGAGTCCTCTGCAGGTAACGTGATGTCACAGAGATACAGGTGAGTCCTCTACAGGTAACGTGATGTCACACAGAGGTACAGGTGAGTCCTCTGCAGGTAACGTGATGTCACACAGAGATACAGGTGAGTCCTCTGAAGGTAACGTGATGTCACAGAGAGATACAGGTGAGTCCTCTGCAGGTAACGTGATGTCACAGAGAGATACAGGTGAGTTCTCTGTAGGTAACGTGATGTCACAGAGATACAGGTGAGTCCTCTGCAGGTAACGTGATGTCACAGAGATACAGGTGAGTCCTCTGCAGGTAACGTGATGTCACAGAGAGATACAGGTGAGTCCTCTACAGGTAACGTGATGTCACAGAGATACAGGTGAGTCCTCTGCAGGTAACGTGATGTCACAGAGATACAGGTGAGTCCTCTGCAGGTAACGTGATGTCACAGAGAGATACAGGTGAGTCCTCTGCAGGTAACGTGATGTCACAGAGATACAGGTGAGTCTTCTACAGGTAACGTGATGTCACAGAGACACAGGTGAGTCCTCTACAGGTAACGTGATGTCACACAGAGATACAGGTGAGTCCTCTGCAGGTAACGTGATGTCACAGAGATACAGGTGAGTCCTCTACAGGTAACGTGATGTCACAGAGATACAGGTGAGTCCTCTGCAGGTAACGTGATGTCACAGAGAGATACAGGTGAGTCCTCTACAGGTAACGTGATGTCACAGAGACACAGGTGAGTCCTCTGCAGGTAACGTGATGTCACACAGAGATACAGGTGAGTCTTCTGCAGGTAACGTGATGTCACACAGAGATACAGGTGAGTCCTCTGAAGGTAACGTGATGTCACAGAGAGATACAGGTGAGTCCTCTGCAGGTAACGTGATGTCACAGAGAGATACAGGTGAGTCCTCTGTAGGTAACGTGATGTCACAGAGATACAGGTGAGTCCTCTGTAGGTAACGTGATGTCACAGAGATACAGGTGAGTCCTCTGCAGGTAACGTGATGTCACAGAGATACAGGTGAGTCCTCTGCAGGTAACGTGATGTCACAGAGAGATACAGGTGAGTCCTCTACAGGTAACGTGATGTCACAGAGACACAGGTGAGTCCTCTGCAGGTAACGTGATGTCACACAGAGATACAGGTGAGTCTTCTGCAGGTAACGTGATGTCACACAGAGATACAGGTGAGTCCTCTGAAGGTAACGTGATGTCACAGAGAGATACAGGTGAGTCCTCTGCAGGTAACGTGATGTCACACAGAGACACAGGTGAGTCCTCTACAGGTAACGTGATGTCACAGAGAGATACAGGTGAGTCCTCTGCAGGTAACGTGATGTCACAGTGAGATACAGGTGAGTCCTCTACAGGTAACGTGATGTCACAGAGACACAGGTGAGTCCTCTGCAGGTAACGTGATGTCACAGAGAGATACAGGTGAGTCCTCTGCAGGTAACGTGATGTCACAGAGATACAGGTGAGTCCTCTACAGGTAACGTGATGTAACAGAGAGATACAGGTGAGTCCTATACAGGTAACGTGATGTCACAGAGACACAGGTGAGTCCTCTGCAGGTAACGTGATGTCACACAGAGATACAGGTGAGTCCTCTGAAGGTAACGTGATGTCACAGAGAGATACAGGTGAGTCCTCTGCAGGTAACGTGATGTCACAGAGAGATACAGGTGAGTCCTCTGTAGGTAACGTGATGTCACAGAGATACAGGTGAGTCCTCTGCAGGTAACGTGATGTCACAGAGATACAGGTGAGTCCTCTGCAGGTAACGTGATGTCACAGAGAGATACAGGTGAGTCCTCTACAGGTAACGTGATGTCACAGAGATACAGGTGAGTCCTCTGCAGGTAACGTGATGTCACAGAGATACAGGTGAGTCCTCTGCAGGTAACGTGATGTCACAGAGAGATACAGGTGAGTCCTCTGCAGGTAACGTGATGTCACAGAGATACAGGTGAGTCCTCTACAGGTAACGTGATGTCACAGAGACACAGGTGAGTCCTCTGCAGGTAACGTGATGTCACACAGAGATACAGGTGAGTCCTCTGCAGGTAACGTGATGTCACAGAGATACATGTGAGTCCTCTACAGGTAACGTGATGTCACAGAGATACAGGTGAGTCCTCTGCAGGTAACGTGATGTCACAGAGAGATACAGGGGAGTCCTCTACAGGTAACGTGATGTCACAGAGATACAGGTGAGTCCTCTGCAGGTAACGTGATGTCACAGAGATACAGGTGAGTCCTCTGCAGGTAACGTGATGTCACACAGAGATAGAGGTGAGTCCTAATGTGATGTCACACAGAGATACAGGTGAGTCCTCTACAGGTAACGTGATGTCACAGAGAGATACAGGTGAGTCCTCTGCAGGTAACGTGATGTCACAGAGAGATACAGGTGAGTCCTCTGCAGGTAACGTGATGTCACAGAGATACAGGTGAGTCCTCTACAGGTAACGTGATGTCACAGAGATACAGGTGAGTCCTCTGCAGGTAACGTGATGTCACACAGAGATACAGGTGAGTCCTCTGCAGGTAACGTGATGTCACAGAGATACAGGTGAGTCCTCTACAGGTAATGTGATGTCACAGAGATACAGGTGAGTCCTCTGCAGGTAACGTGATGTCACAGAGAGATACAGGTGAGTCCTCTACAGGTAACGTGATGTCACAGAGATACAGGTGAGTCCTCTGCAGGTAACGTGATGTCACAGAGAGATACAGGTGAGTCCTCTGCAGGTAACGTGATGTCACAGAGAGATACAGGTGAGTCCTCTGCAGGTAACGTGATGTCACAGAGATACAGGTGAGTCCTCTACAGGTAATGTGATGTCACAGAGATACAGGTGAGTCCTCTGCAGGTAACGTGATGTCACAGAGAGATACAGGTGAGTCCTCTACAGGTAACGTGATGTCACAGAGATACAGGTGAGTCCTCTGCAGGTAACGTGATGTCACAGAGATACAGGTGAGTCCTCTGCAGGTAACGTGATGTCACAGAGAGATACAGGTGAGTCCTCTGCAGGTAACGTGATGTCACAGAAATACAGGTGAGCCCTCTACAGGTAACGTGATGTCATAGAGATACAGGTGAGTCCTCTGCAGGTATCGTGATGTCACACAGAGATACAGGTGAGTCCTCTGCAGGTAACGTGATGTCACAGAGATACAGGTGAGTCCTCTACAGGTAACGTGATGTCACAGAGATACAGGTGAGTCCTCTGCAGGTAACGTGATGTCACAGAGAGATACAGGTGAGTCCTCTACAGGTAACGTGATGTCACAGAGATACAGATGAGTCCTCTGCAGGTAACGTGATGTCACAGAGATACAGGTGAGTCCTCTGCAGGTAACGTGATGTCACACAGAGATACAGGTGAGTCCTAATGTGATGTCACACAGAGATACACAGAGATACAGGTGAGTCCTCTACAGGTAACGTGATGTCACAGAGAGATACAGGTGAGTCCTCTACAGGTAACGTGATGTCACACAGAGATACAGGTGAGTCCTCTGCAGGTAACGTGATGTCACACAGAGACACAGGTGAGTCCTCTACAGGTAACGTGATGTCACAGAGAGATACAGGTGAGTCCTCTGCAGGTAACGTGATGTCACAGAGAGATACAGGTGAGTCCTCTACAGGTAACGTGATGTCACAGAGATACAGGTGAGTCCTCTACAGGTAACGTGATGTCACAGAGAGATACAGGTGAGTCCTCTGCAGGTAACGTGATGTCACACATAGATACAGGTGAGTCCTCTGAAGGTAACGTGATGTCACACAGAGACACAGGTGAGTCCTCTACAGGTAACGTGATGTCACAGAGAGATACAGGTGAGTCCTCTGCAGGTAACGTGATGTCACACAGAGATACAGGTGAGTCCTCTGCAGGTAACGTGATGTCACACAGAGATACAGGTGAGTCCTCTGAAGGTAACGTGATGTCACACAGAGACACAGGTGAGTCCTCTACAGGTAACGTGATGTCACAGAGAGATACAGGTGAGTCCTCTGCAGGTAACGTGATGTCACAGAGAGATACAGGTGAGTCCTCTACAGGTAACGTGATGTCACAGAGACACAGGTGAGTCCTCTGCAGGTAACGTGATGTCACACAGAGATAGAGGTGAGTCCTAATGTGATGTCACACAGAGATACAGGTGAGTCCTCAACAGGTAACGTGATGTCACAGAGAGATACAGGTGAGTCCTCTGCAGGTAACGTGATGTCACAGAGAGATACAGGTGAGTCCTCTACAGGTAACGTGATGTCACAGAGACACAGGTGAGTCCTCTGCAGGTAACGTGATGTCACAGAGAGATACAGGTGAGTCCTCTGCAGGTAACGTGATGTCACAGAGATACAGGTGAGTCCTCTACAGGTAACGTGATGTCACAGAGATATACAGGTGAGTCCTCTACAGGTAACGTGATGTCACAGAGACGCAGGTGAGTCCTCTGCAGGTAACGTGATGTCACACAGAGATACAGGTGTGTCCTCTGCAGGTAACGTGATGTCACAGAGAGATACAGGTGAGTCCTCTGCAGGTAACGTGATGTCACAGAGATACAGGTGAGTCCTCTACAGGTAACGTGATGTCACAGAGATACAGGTGAGTCCTCTACGGGTAATGTGATGTCACAGAGATACAGGTGAGTCCTCTGCAGGTAAGGTGATGTCACAGAGAGATACAGGTGAGTCCTCTACAGGTAACGTGATGTCACAGAGATACAGGTGAGTCCTCTGCAGGTAACGTGATGTCACACAGAGATACAGGTGAGTCCTCTGCAGGTAACGTGATGTCACAGAGATACAGGTGAGTCCTCTACGGGTAATGTGATGTCACAGAGATACAGGTGAGTCCTCTGCAGGTAAGGTGATGTCACAGAGAGATACAGGTGAGTCCTCTACAGGTAACGTGATGTCACAGAGATACAGGTGAGTCCTCTGCAGGTAACGTGATGTCACAGAGATACAGGTGAGTCCTCTGCAGGTAACGTGATGTCACAGAGAGATACAGGTGAGTCCTCTGCAGATAACGTGATGTCAAAGAAATACAGGTGAACCCTCTACAGGTAACGTGATGTCACAGAGATACAGGTGAGTCCTCTGCAGGTAACGTGATGTCACACAGAGATACAGGTGAGTCCTCTGCAGGTAACGTGATGTCACAGAGATACAGGTGAGTCCTCTACAGGTAACGTGATGTCACAGAGATACAGGTGATTCATCTGCAGGTAACGTGATGTCACAGAGAGATACAGGTGAGTCCTCTACAGGTAACGTGATGTCACAGAGATACAGATGAGTCCTCTGCAGGTAACGTGATGTCAAAGAGATACAGGTGAGTCCTCTGCAGGTAACGTGATGTCACACAGAGATACAGGTGAGTCCTAATGTGATGTCACACAGAGATACAGGTGAGTCCTCTACAGGTAACGTGATGTCACAGAGAGATACAGGTGAGTCCTCTACAGGTAACGTGATGTCACACAGAGATACAGGTGAGTCCTCTGCAGGTAACGTGATGTCACACAGAGACACAGGTGAGTCCTCTACAGGTAACGTGATGTCACAGAGAGATACAGGTGAGTCCTCTGCAGGTAACGTGATGTCACAGAGAGATACAGGTGAGTCCTCTACAGGTAACGTGATGTCACAGAGACACAGGTGAGTCCTCTGCAGGTAACGTGATGTCACAGAGAGATACAGGTGAGTCCTCTGCAGGTAACGTGATGTCACAGAGATACAGGTGAGTCCTCTGCAGGTAACGTGATGTCACAGAGAGATACAGGTGAGTCCTCTACAGGTAACGTGATGTCACAGAGACACAGGTGAGTCCTCTGCAGGTAACGTGATGTCACACAGAGATACAGGTGAGTCCTCTACAGGTAACGTGATGTCACAGAGAGATACAGGTGAGTCCTCTGCAGGTAACGTGATGTCACAGAGAGATACAGGTGAGTCCTCTGCAGGTAACGTGATGTCACAGAGATACAGGTGAGTCCTCTGCAGGTAACGTGATGTCACAGAGAGATACAGGTGAGTCCTCTGCAGGTAACGTGATGTCACAGAGATACAGGTGAGTCCTCTGCAGGTAACGTGATGTCACAGAGAGATACAGGTGAGTCCTCTGCAGGTAACGTGATGTCACAGAGAGATACAGGTGAGTCCTCTGCAGGTAACGTGATGTCACACAGAGATACAGGTGAGTCCTCTGCAGGTAACGTGATGTCACACAGAGATACAGGTGAGTCCTCTGCAGGTAACGTGATGTCACACAGAGATACAGGTGAGTCCTCTGCAGGTAACGTGATGTCACACAGAGATACCGGTGAGGAACACAGATCACATTTCTATTGGCCAGGTACCCCCCCCCCTCACCAGAGAGATCTCGCGGTGGAACTTGGCTTCCAGGTTAGTGACGCTCTTGAAGGTGCTGATGTAGAATCCCACCCGGCTGCAGGGTGACAGGAAACACAGGTTATCAGTTATTGCATCACTTCCTGTCTGACACCTGTTGTGGGACAGTGTGCATGAGACTCACCAGGTGTGCATGAGACTCACCAGGTGTGCATGAGACTCACCAGGTGTGCCTGAGACTCACCTGGTGTGCCTGAGACTCACCAGGTGTGCATGAGACTCACCAGGTGTGCATGAGACTCACCAGGTGTGCCTGAGACTCACCAGGTGTGCATGAGACTCACCAGGTGTGCATGAGACTCACCAGGTGTGCCTGAGACTCACCAGGTGTGCCTGAGACTCACCAGGTGTGCATGAGACTCACCAGGTGTGCATGAGACTCACCAGGTGTGCCTGAGACTCACCTGTCCCACAGAGAGGGCAGCTCGTCCTGCAGACCAACGTCCAGCTCATCGAACACTTTCTGAGCCTTTTTCAGCTCGTCGTCCGCCTGAAACAGAAGAACATCTTCATCATCTTCCTCACACCTTCATCATCTTCATCTTCCTCACATCTGATCTCACCTTCATCATCTTCATCTTCCTCACACCTGATCTCACCTTCATCATCTTCCTCACACCTGATCTCACCTTCATCATCTCTCTCTCACCTGATCTCACCTTCATCATCTCTGTCACACCTGATCTCACCTTCATCATCTCTCTCTCACCTGATCTCACCTTCATCATCTCTCTCTCACCTGATCTCACCTTCATCATCTCTCTCACCTGATCTCACCTTCATCATCTCTCTCTCACCTGATCTCACCTTCATCATCTCTCTCTCACCTGATCTCACCTTCATCATCTCTCTCACCTGATCTCACCTTCATCATCATCTCTCTCACCTGATCTCACCTTCATCATCTCTCTCTCACCTGATCTCACCTTCATCATCATCTCTCTCACCTGATCTCACCTTCATCATCTCTCTCTCACCTGATCTCACCTTCATCATCTCTCTCACCTGATCTCACCTTCATCATCATCTCTCTCACCTGATCTCACCTTCATCATCTCTCTCTCTCCTGATCTCACCTTCATCATCATCTCTCTCATCTGATCTCACCTTCATCATCTCTCTCTCTCTCCTGATCTCACCTTCATCATCATCTCTCTCACCTGATCTCACCTTCATCATCTCCCTCTCACCTGATCTCACCTTCATCATCATCTCTCTCACATGATCTCACCTTCATCATCTCTCTCACCTGATCTCACCTTCATCATCTCTCTCACCTGATCTCACCTTCATCATCTCTCTCACCTGATCTCACCTTCATCATCTCTCTCACCTGATCTCACCTTCATCATCTCTCTCTCACCTGATCTCACCTTCATCATCTCTCTCTCACCTGATCTCACCTTCATCATCATCCTCTCACCTGATCTCACCTTCATCATCTCTCTCTCACCTGATCTCACCTTCATCATCTCTCTCTCACCTGATCTCACCTTCATCATCTCTCTCTCTCTCCTGATCTCACCTTCATCATCATCTCTCTCACCTGATCTCACCTTCATCATCTCCCTCTCACCTGATCTCACCTTCATCATCATCTCTCTCACATGATCTCACCTTCATCATCTCTCTCACCTGATATCACCTTTATCATCTCTCTCACCTGATCTCACCTTCATCATCTCTCTCACCTGATATCACCTTCATCATCTCTCTCACCTGATCTCACCTTCATCATCTCTCTCTCACCTGATCTCACCTTCATCATCTCTCTCTCACCTGATCTCACCTTCATCATCATCCTCTCACCTGATCTCACCTTCATCATCTCTCTCTCACCTGATCTCACCTTCATCATCTCTCTCTCACCTGATCTCACCTTCATCATCTCCCTCTCACCTGATCTCACCTTCATCATCATCCTCTCACCTGATCTCACCTTCATCATCTCTATCACCTGATCTCACCTTCATCATCATCTCTCGCTCACCTGATCTCACCTTCATCATCTCTCTCTCACCTGATCTCACCTTCATCATCTCTCTCTCACCTGATCTCACCTTCATCATCATCCTCTCACCTGATCTCACCTTCATCATCTCTCTCTCACCTGATCTCACCATCATCATCTCCCTCTCACCTGATCTCACCTTCATCATAATCCTGTCACCTGATCTCACCTTCATCATCTCTCTCACCTGATCTCACCTTCATCATCTCTCTCTCTCACCTGATCTCACCTTCATCATCATCTCTCTCTCACCTGATCTCACCTTCATCATCTCTCTCACCTGATCTCACCTTCATCATCTCTCTCTCACCTGATCTCACCTTCATCATCTCTCTCTCACCTGATCTCACCTTCATCATCTCTCTCACCTGATCTCACATTCATCATCTCTCTCTCTCCTGATCTCACCTTCATCATCTCTCTCACCTGATCTCACCTTCATCATCTCTCTCTCACCTGATCTCACCTTCATCATCTCTCTCTCACCTGATCTCACCTTCATCATCTCTCTCACCTGATCTCACCTTCATCATCTCTCTCTCACCTGATCTCACCTTCATCATCATCTCTCTCACCTGATCTCACCTTCATCATCTCTCTCTCACCTGATCTCACCTTCATCATCTCTCTCTCACCTGATCTCACCTTCATCATCTCTCTCTCACCTGATCTCACCTTCATCATCATCCTCTCACCTGATCTCACCTTCATCATCTCTCTCACCTGATCTCACCTTCATCATCTCTCTCACCTGATCTCACCTTCATCATCTTCCTCACCTGATCTCACCTTCATCATCTCTCTCACCTGATCTCACCTTCATCATCTCTCTCTCACCTGATCTCACCTTCATCATCTCTCTCTCTCCTGATCTCACCTTCATCATCATCTCTCTCACCTGATCTCACCTTCATCATCTCTCTCACCTGATCTCACCTTCATCATCTCTCTCTCTCACCTGATCTCACCTTCATCATCTCTCTCACCTGATCTCACCTTCATCATCATCTCTCTCTCACCTGATCTCACCTTCATCATCTCTCTCTCTCCTGATCTCACCTTCATCATCATCTCTCTCACCTGATCTCACCTTCTTCATCATCTCTCTCTCACCTGATCTCACCTTCATCATCATCTCTCTCACCTGATATCACCTTCATCATCATCTCTCTCTCTCCTGATCTCACCTTCATCATCTCTCTCACCTGATATCACCTTCATCATCTCCCTCTCACCTGATCTCACCTTCATCATCTCTCTCACCTGATCTCACCTTCATCATCTCTCTCACCTGATATCACCTTCATCATCATCATCTCACCTTCATCATCTCCCTCTCACCTGATCTCACCTTCATCATCATCTCTCTCACCTGATCTCACCTTCATCATCATCTCTCTCTCACCTGATCTCACCTTCATCATCTCTCTCACCTGATATCACCTTCATCATCTCCCTCTCACCTGATCTCACCTTCATCATCTCTCTCTCTCCTGATCTCACCTTCATCATCATCTCTCTCACCTGATCTCACCTTCATCATCATCTCTCTCACCTGATCTCACCTTCATCATCATCTCTCTCACCTGATCTCACCTTCATCATCTCTCTCACCTGATATCACCTTCATCATCTCCCTCTCACCTGATATCACCTTCATCATCATCCTCTCACCTGATCTCACCTTCATCATCTCTCTCTCACCTGATCTCACCTTCATCATCTCTCTCACCTGATATCACCTTCATCATCTTCCTCTCACCTGATCTCACCTTCATCATCTCTCTCACCTGATATCACCTTCATCATCTTCCTCTCACCTGATCTCACCTTCATCATCTCTCTCTCACCTGATCTCACCTTCATCATCTCTCTCACCTGATATCACCTTCATCATCTTCCTCTCCCCTGATCTCACATTCATCATCATCCTCTCACCTGATCTCACCTTCATCATCTCTCTCTCACCTGATCTCACCTTCATCATCTCTCTCACCTGATATCACCTTCATCATCTCCCTCTCACCTGATATCACCTTCATCATCATCCTCTCACCTGATCTCACCTTCATCATCTCTCTCTCACCTGATCTCACCTTCATAATCTCTCTCTCACCTGATCTCACCTTCATAATCTCTCTCTCACCTGATCTCACCTTCATCATCTCTCTCTCTCCTGATCTCACCTTCATCATCTCTCTCTCTCCTGATCTCACCTTCATCATCTCTCTCTCACCTGATCTCACCTTCATCATCTCTCTCTCACCTGATCTCACCTTCATCATCTCTCTCTCACCTGATCTCACCTTCATCATCTCTCTCTCCTGATCTCACCTTCATCATCTCTCTCTCACCTGATCTCACCTTCATCATCTCTCTCTCACCTGATCTCACCTTCATCATCTCTCTCTCACCTGATCTCACCTTCATCATCTCTCTCACCTGATCTCACCTTCATCATCTCTCTCACCTGAGCTCACCTTCATCATCTCTTTCTCACCTGATCTCACCTTCATCATCTCCCTCACACCTGATCTCATCATCTTCATCTTCCTCACACCTGATCTCACCTTCATCATCTTCCTCTCACCTGATCTCACCTTCATCATCTTCCTCACACCTGAGCTCACCTTCATCATCTTCCGGTCACTCTTCATCCCAGACAGCGCCAGGGTCTCCACATGGTGTCGGGCGCTGTCATAGTCGATCAGTTTTCGGCTTCTCTTGGCCACGCGAGTCTGAAAGGTCCAGGGGTTCAGGTTTAGAGAGGTTCAGGTTTAGAGAGGTTCAGGTTTAGAGAGGTTCAGGTTTAGAGAGGTTCAGGTTTAGAGAGGTTCAGGTTTAGAGGGGTTCAGGTTTAGAGGGGTTCAGGTTTAGAGAGGTTCAGGTTTAGAGAGGTTCAGGTTTAGACAGGTTCAGGTTTAGACAGGTTCAGGTTTAGACAGGTTCAGGTTTAGACAGGTTCAGGTTTAGACAGGTTCAGGTTTAGAGAAGCTCAGGTTTAGAGAGGTTCAGGTTTAGAGAGGTTCAGGTTTAGAGAGGTTCAGGTTTAGACAGGTTCAGGTTTAGAGAGGTTCAGGTTTAGAGAGGTTCAGGTTTAGAGAGGTTCAGGTTTAGAGAAGCTCAGGTTTAGAGAGGTTTAGGTTTAGAGAGGTTCAGGTTTAGAGAAGCTCAGGTTTAGAGAGGTTCAGGTTTAGAGAGGTTCAGGTTTAGAGAAGCTCAGGTTTAGAGAGGTTCAGGTTTAGAGAGGTTCAGGTTTAGAGAAGCTCAGGTTTAGAGAGGTTTAGGTTTAGAGAGGTTCAGGTTTAGAGAAGCTCAGGTTTAGAGAGGTTCAGGTTTAGAGAAGCTGAGGTTTAGAGAGGTTCAGGTTTAGAGAGGTTCAGGTTTAGAGAGGTTCAGGTTTAGACAGGTTCAGGTTTAGAGAAGTTCAGGTTTAGACAGGTTCAGGTTTAGAGAAGTTCAGGTTTAGAGAAGCTCAGGTTTAGAGAAGTTCAGGTTTAGAGAGGTTCAGGGATATAGAAGCTCAGGTTTAGAGAAGTTCAGGTTTAGAGAGGTTCTGGTTTAGAGAGGTTCAGGGTTAGAGAAGTTCAGGTTTAGAGAGGTTCAGGTTTAGAGAGGTTCAGGTTTAGAGAGGTTCAGGTTTAGACAGGTTCAGGTTTAGACAGGTTCAGGTTTAGACAGGTTCAGGTTTAGACAGGTTCAGGTTTAGAGAAGTTCAGGTTTAGACAGGTTCAGGTTTAGAGAAGTTCAGGTTTAGAGAAGTTCAGGTTTAGAGAGGTTCAGGGTTAGAGAAGCTCAGGTTTAGAGAAGTTCAGGTTTAGAGAGGTTCAGGTTTAGAGAGGTTCAGGTTTAGAGAGGTTCAGGTTTAGAGAGGTTCAGGTTTAGAGAAGTTCAGGTTTAGAGAGGTTCAGGTTTAGAGAGGTTCAGGTTTAGAGAAGTTCAGGTTTAGAGAGGTTCAGGTTTAGAGAGGTTCAGGTTTAGAGAGGTTCAGGTTTAGAGAGGTTCAGGTTTAGAGAAGTTCAGGTTTAGAGAGGTTCAGGTTTAGAGAAGTTCAGGTTTAGAGAGGTTCAGGTTTAGAGAGGTTCAGGTTTAGAGAGGTTCAGGTTTAGAGAAGTTCAGGTTTAGAGAAGTTCAGGTTTAGAGAGGTTCAGGTTTAGAGAAGTTCAGGTTTAGACAGGTTCAGGTTTAGACAGGTTCGGGTTTAGACAGGTTCAGGTTTAGACAGTTTCAGGTTTAGACAGGTTCAGGTTTAGAGAAGTTCAGGTTTAGAGTAGCTCAGGTTTAGAGAAGTTCAGGTTTAGAGAGGTTCAGGTTTAGAGAGGTTCCGGGTTAGAGAAGCTCAGGTTTAGAGAAGTTCAGGTTTAGAGAAGTTCAGGTTTAGAGAAGTTCAGGTTTAGAGAGGTTCAGGTTTAGAGAGGTTCAGGTTTAGAGAGGTTCAGATTTAGAGAGGTTCAGGTTTAGAGGGGTTCAGATTTAGAGAAGTTCAGGTTTAGAGAGGGTCAGGTTTATAGAAGGTCAGGTTTAGAGAGGGTCAGGTTTAGGTTCAGCTTTAGAGATGATCATGTTTAGAGAGGTTCAGGTTTACAGAGGGCCAGGTTTAGAGAGGTTCAGGTTTAGAGAGGGTCAGGTTTACAGAGGGTCAGGTTTACAGAGGGTCAGGTTTACAGAGGGTCAGGTTTAGAGAGGGTCAGGTTTAGAGAAGTTCAGGTTTACAGAGGGCCAGGTTTAGAGAGGTTCAGGTTTAGAGAGGGTCAGGTTTAGAGAGGGTCAGGTTTAGAGGGTCAGGTTTAGAGAGGTTCAGGTTTAGAGAGGGTCAGGTTTAGAGGTTCAGGTTTACAGAGGGTCGGGTTTAGAGAGGGTCGGGTTTAGAGAGGGTCAGTTTTAGAGAGGGTCAGGTTAAGAGAAGTTCAGGTTTAGGTTCAGGACTTACTCTGAGGTCTGGGAACTGCACAAGATACTCATCCAGGTTCAAAAGCGTTGAGTCCACCAGCTTGTTATGGAAATCCTCCCACATGGCATCGCAGTCCTTCAGAAACACAACAGATCTGTCATAGCGACACATACAAATGTACAATCTATAAAGCCGTGTTCACATTGGTCCAGCAGGCTCTTAGTCCCTCCCCTAGCTCTTCACTTTTGGTTAACCCAGAGCTGCTGCTTCTGAAGACCTGGTGTGTTCAGGAGCTTCTGAAGACCTGGTGTGTTCAGTAGCTTCTGATTCTGAAGACCTGGTACATTCAGCAACTGCTGCTTCTGAAGACCTGGTGCATTCAGGAGCTTCTGAAGACCTGGTGCATTCAGGAGCTTCTGCTTCTGAAGACCTGGTGTGTTCAGGAGCTTCTGAAGACCTGGTGCATTCAGGAGCTTCTGCTTCTGAAGACCTGGTGTGTTCAGGAGCTTCTGAAGACCTGGTGCCTTCAGGAGCTTCTGCTTCTGAAGATCTGGTGTGTTCAGGAGCTGCTGCTTCTGAAGACCTGATGTGTTCAGGAGCTGCTGCTTCTGAAGACCTGGTGTGTTTAGGAGCTTCTGAAGACCTGGTGCCTTCAGGAGCTTCTGCTGCTGAAGACCTGGTGTGTTCAGGAGCTTCTGAAGACCTGGTGCATTCAGGAGCTTCTGCTTCTGAAGACCTGGTGTGTTTAGGAGCTTCTGAAGACCTGGTGCCTTCAGGAGCTTCTGCTTCTGAAGATCTGGTGTGTTCAGGAGCTGCTGCTTCTGAAGACCTGATGTGTTCAGGAGCTGCTGCTTCTGAAGACCTGGTGCCTTCAGGAGCTTCTGCTTCTGAAGATCTGGTGTGTTCACGAGCTGCTGCTTCTGAAGACCTGGTGTGTTCACAAGCTGTTGTCAGTAGGAGATCTCAGGACTCTTACCTTCCCGATGACCATGACGTCGTCTTTGCCGTGCCAGTCCGGCTCGTAGACTTCGTGCAGAGACTGCGTCAGGTTGATGGAGGCCTGCTGCATCCCTGACACACACTCAGGGTGTTAGTTTATTATTGTTATTAACACTAATACAAATGATGATGAGGGGACAGTCCGGCAGTGGCTCAGTCAGTAGGGACTGGGAGCCGTAGGGTCGCCGCTTCAAGTCCCCGAACAAAACTAAATATGGAGTGTGGACTGCTATTGGAGAGGTCCCAGTTCACCTCCTGGGCCCTGCCGTGGTGCCCTTGAGCAAGGCACCGGACATGGTTATTATCGTTATTAACATTAATACATATGATGATGAGGGGACAGACACACACTCAGGGTGTTAGTTTATTATAACACATTATGATGTGTGATACAAAAGGAGCCTCACCTTTAATGGCCGCCATGTAGGCCTTCATCTCCCTCTGCAGCCGAGAGCCTTCAGACTGACAGACAGAGAAAACATTAAATCACATGTCACTGTTTCATCAGCATTCATGTGTGGCCCCCTGCGGAGGGGGCGACGCATGTGGCTGCATGGGCATCTATAATAGATGAATCGATATATAATATCTATATAACCCTGTGTATGTTTGTCTCTGCTCACCTCCTGCCTCCTGAAGTTGACGACCACCTGCTCAAACTGCTCATCTTTGGTCTCGTCTGCCTTCCCCAGTTTCTGCAGCACCTGGAAACAGAACCATAACTGCTGATTAAAGACGTTACTTCTATGTTGTCAATAAATCTGACCACAGCTTCCTTCCACAGGAAGTCAACAGATACTAAGATACCACTGTGTCAGGCTTCGGTTTATTAAAGTCAATCCTTTGAGCGAACCAGAAAACACGTCTCTGAAACACAAAGCTATGAGCCAGCTTTAATATTTAACGGCGTTTAGAATTTCACCCGCTGGTGTCAGGTTCTGGTTCTGGACAGAAGAGAGGTCGAGCACACGTTCCAGCAACACGTTCCAGCAACACGTTCCAGCAACACGTTCCAGTAATTTAGGATTTCTGCCCATATAAGGATATCATACCAATCAACGGACAGGTCTCCCTGTCCAATCAGAACCAGGTAATGTTCTCCCTGTCCAATCAGAACCAGGTAATGTTCTCCCTGTCCAATCAGAACCAGGTAATGTTCTCCCTGTCCAATCAGAACCAGGTAATGTTCTCCCTGTCCAATCAGAACCAGGTAATGTTCTCCCTGTCCAATCAGAACCAGGTAATGTTCTCCCTGTCAAGGTGTTCTCCCTGTCCAATCAGAACCAGGTAATGTTCTCCCTGTCCAATCAGAACCAAGTAGGGTTTTCCCTGTCCAATCAGAACCAGGTAGTGTTCTCCCTGTCCAATCAGAACTAGGTAATGTTCTCCCTGTCTAATCAGAACTAGGTAATGTTCTCCCTGTCTAATCAGAACTAGGTAATGTTCTCCCTGTCTAATCAGAACCAGGTAGTGTTCTCCCTGTCTAATCAGAACTAGGTAATGTTCTCCCTGTCCAATCAGAACCAGGTAGTGTTTTCCCTGTCAAATCAGAACCAGGTAGTGTTCTCCCTGTCCAATCAGAACCAGGTAGTGTTCTCTCTGTCCAATCAGAACCAGGTAATGTTCTCCCTGTCCAATCAGAACCAGGTAGTGTTCTCCCTGTCCAATCAGAACTACGTAATGTTCTCCCTGTCCAATCAGAACCAGGTAGTGTTCTCCCTGTCCAATCAGAACTAGGTAATGTTCTCCCTGTCCAATCAGAACCAGGTAGTGTTTTCCCTGTCCAATCAGAACCAGGTAGTGTTCTCCCTGTCCAATCAGAACCAGGTAATAATCAGAACCAGGTAATGTTCTCCCTGTCCAATCAGAACCAGGTAATGTTCTCCCTGTCCAATCAGAACCAGGTAGTGTTCTCCCTGTCCAATCAGAACCAGGTAATGTTCTCCCTGTCCAATCAGAACCAAGTAGGGTTTTCCCTGTCCAATCAGAACCAGGTAGTGTTCTCCCTGTCCAAATCAGAACTAGGTAATGTTCTCCCTGTCTAATCAGAACTAGGTAATGTTCTCCCTGTCTAATCAGAACTAGGTCATGTTCTCCCTGTCCAATCAGAACTAGGTAGGGTTCCCACTGTCCAATCAGAACCAGGTAGTATTCTCCCTGTCCAATCAGAACTAGGTAATGTTCTCCCTGTCCAATCAGAACTATGTAATGTTCTCCCTGTCCAATCAGAACCAGGTAGTGTTCTCCCTGTCCAATCAGAACTAGGTAATGTTCTCCCTGTCCAATCAGAACCAGGTAATGTTCTCCCTGTCCAATCAGAACCAGGTAGTGTTCTCCCTGTCCAATCAGAACTAGGTAATGTTCTCCCTGTCCAATCATAACCAGGTAGTGTTCTCCCTGTCCAATCAGAACTAGGTAATGTTCTCCCTGTCCAATCAGAACGAGGTAGTGTTTTCCCTGTCCAATCAGAACCAGGTAGTGTTCTCCCTGTCCAATCAGAACTAGGTAATGTTCTCCCTGTCCAATCAGAAACAGGTAGTGTTTTCCCTGTCCAATCAGAACCAGGTAGTGTTCTCCCTGTCCAATCAGAACCAGGTAGTGTTCTCCCTGTCCAATCAGAACTAGGTAATGTTCTCCCTGTCCAATCAGAACCAGGTAGTGCTTTCCCTGGATAAAACGGACAAGTCAAATCAAGCAATCTGATTGGTTCTTAGCCGTGATATACAGAGCGTATACCACGGGTAGAACTGTAAGTTACTTTTCACAACAAGTCAGTATCCCTCCGCGTCTGAGAAAAACGGTATACAGTTGGGCTGAAAAGCAAACTGCCTGTAAACTGCCCACAACTGTCTAATATGTTCGCTAGCTGCTAGTGTTGTTGCCTAGCAAACACCTCGCACTATGTTTCGTGCAGAAGGCAACGGAGGGACTATTTTATTTTGAACATCATTATTTACTAATAAAAACTATTTCAATTAGAGTGTGTATTTTTCTTTCATATTGCCACACTTGGTAACCATTTTATAAAAGCAATAGCTCACTTCAGGCCGTGATATATGCTCATTATATCACAGCTAAGGGGGTTGTCGACCCTCCGCTTCGCGTCGGGCTGAACCACGCCCCTTAGCTGTGATATAATGAGCATATACGACGGCCTGTCGTGAGCTATTGCTTAAATATAATATATAATATGTATTGTTGTTGTTAGCATCTGGTGCTAGCTAGCTGCGCTAACGGATATGGAGCTGTTTCAATGAAAACAGAGGAGCGACATTTCGCCGACAACTGCGCCGAGCACTGGACAATCATGCGATTAATCGCGATTAAATATTTTAATCGACTGACAGCTATGGAAGCGAACAAGAGACAGAAGTATTTGAATTTTATTAGACACCGAATTTATAGCATTGAAAATAATTACTTTGAAAATCATGTAGGCCTATCTGAATTGTTTTGCTCCGAATTTACCTATGTAAAATAAAAATTTAAAAATTCAAGTTAAAAAAATTCTAATGCACAATTTCGGTGTTAAAAAATTCGACGTCAAAAATGTCGGTGTATAAAATTCGATGTCCAAAATTGCGATGCAGCATCATCCGGGCTACTCAGACAGGATAAGCAATCGAGCCCGAATGCAATCAAACCGACTTCTGGCCTATCAGAGCACGGCTTTGTCAGTCATGTGATCACAACAACCCGGGAGAAAAATGACGGAGAACAGTGGGGCTCGGGTAATTAGTCAGTTTGTGCTCTTTATTTTACAAGCAGTGAGGGCTCGACAGCATTTGTATCTTACATTAGCTAAATGAGTGAAGTAGCCTTGCTGTTAGCATGCTCTGTAGTTATCATTAATTGAAGTGAATCACAACGTTACTCTGTGTGTGTGTGTGTGTGTGTGTGTGTGTGTGTGTGTGTGTGTGTGTGTGTGTGTGTGTGTGTGTGTGTGTGTGTGTGTGTGTGTGTGTGTGGTGGGGGGGGGGTGACGGTTTGCAAAGTAACGTTACGATCACTTCGGTTAGATAAGTCAAGTAGACCATGCTACACTATACAAATACTCTCTTACAAAATCCCTGCATTTAAACATGTTAATGTTACTTTAGTAAAAGTATGCTAGTATAATCAGGAAAGTGTTGTTAAAGTATTTAAAGTTAAACTATTATATTATATCATTTGTTTTATTGTTATTAACGATGCACGAGTTGACTTAACTGTTGTAGTTGGAGCTCATTTTGAACAATGAGCTAACTAATGATTACTTTCATAATGGTTCAATGTGCTGACTATTTTCTACATTAATAGATGAAGGTCTGGTTTGCTCAAACTCTCAAAATAGTAGGACATGCTGTCATAATTACCCAGAGTCCGAAGTGACACCTTTACGACGTTAAAGCTGTTAGATAAATGTAGTGATGTAAAAACTAAAATATTCAAGATAGTATAGTGGAAAAGAGATAATGTTTTAAAAACATGTTACTAAAACAAAATCTCTTGTTTTGGACTGACAGTAAAGATTCAAGAAATAGTAGATAAATAAATACACACATATCAATCTGTGTGCATTTGTTGTGGATGGAACAACACATGGTGCTCTGACCTGTGATGCCTCCTCCACACATTATAACCAGACTGTATCATTCAAACTATAAGTAACAGTTCTAGCTACTTGACTTCAGACAATTCAAAAGACAAAATCAACACAATTTATTGAAAGACCAATCTTTATTTCTCTCCTTTGGTTTGTATTATTAAACCCTGTCAATCTAAAAAACTGAGCAACTCAACGGTTAACTTTATATTTCTTATTGTCCTAAGCATCTGTTACACTATTTGTTCCCCTCTCATATTCACAGGATGGACGATTAGAGACTTTGGGGGAGACCTCAGCTTTATGAACGTCCTGTCTGTTGCTTTGGCCAAAGAGGGCTGAGGGTCTTTCCCTGCGAGGAGGACCAGGCCTGAGGGAGGAGGACCAGGCCTGAGGGAGGAGGATCAGGCCTGAGGGAGGAGGACCAGGCCTGAGGGAGGAGGACCAGGCCTGAGGGAGGAGGACCAGGCCTGAGGGAGGAGGACCAGGCCTGATGGAGGAGGACCAGGCCTGAGGGAGGAGGACCAGGCCTGAGGGAGGAGGACCTGCACCAGCTGCACCTACAGAACTTAGCCCATGCTGGGCATAGCCGTTACCACCTGCACAGGCCTAGCCTGTCACTTAACAGATTAACATTTAGTGTAATTTATGTATATTATTTCGTTTTTATTTAAAAAAAATGTTGATGGTTCATGCTTGATAACTTTTATTTCACATTTCAATAAATTGTATTTGCACTCCTTTTGTCTGTTAGTCTTACTGAAAATGTTAGATTACACATTCACATCTGACTGAAGATTGGCACCATTTCAGGGGTAGACATTAAGGGTAAAATGCCACTAGCCCTCCGGGCCGGTGGAATTGTATTGTCACTGGCCCCACCATTGTAACCTCCGGCCCGGAGCATTCGTCCAAAGAAAATCGACTAATAATGAAGAAAATTAACACATTTGTTGCAATAGTAATTTATGCACTAACTACATTACTACTTGTACTACAATATTTGAATCATCAATTCTTCCTCATTTTCCTCAATTGTTCATATATGGTTTATTAAAATAATGATATTGTGGTCATTGTTAAAAAATGTCTGAGTATTATTATTTGTATAATGCGCTT